GTTATTGGTTTTTCTAATAATTCAAAATACAAATAATTATATTTAATTATTTTTAGACAATTAAATTGTAATAAATGAATTAATGATGATAAATTAGATATGAGACCAATTATCATAAATAAATTAAGGGTATAATTAGAATCTTATACAATTAGAGTGGTAGTTTCTACATTTCATTTTATGTGATGTTAGATACTTAAATATATGACCAATAGATAATATAGAATCCTATTTCCCAAATAACTAGTTGTATCATGTCTCTATAGTTGTACCAAGTAATACATAATTGTACTGTTTCATTACAGTTAAGTAATACCTAGTTGTACCAAATAATACTACCTAAGTTGTACCAAATAGGAGTATTGGAGAAATGAGTATTCCAGACAACAGAGGAGTACGCAAGAATCTCACACATTTGTCCGGATTTGCTAGAAAAAATGAATATGATGGGCCTGTCTTTGTAACACATGGGCTTCGTGTCAGGAAAATAGAAGCCCATAAATTTGCTTCGGTTTACCACATTGATTCCACAATATGCCACGTGGATAAAGATGAATGGAAATGATATTACAAAATCCGACATAGGCACACAATTCGCTTCCGTGCAAAATCGTTTCAACGTGAAAGAAGATTGAACAAGCTCTCAGGTTTTTTTTTTCTTACTCTCGACCAGACATTGATTTTCCGATTTGCATCTGTTCCATCTTCGTCTTCACAATGTCATCTTTAATTTTCCAATTCTCCAATGAATTTTTACTTCTGTAACGATGCATTTGATTATACGTTGACTTTTTATTTTCCCTTTTGGAAATGGCAGCGACTTCTCAGCTTCTTCATCATTCGACCTGAAATTTCTACTTTGATCCTTCCTACTTCTTTAGAAGATCGACCCGATTTAGCTCGATCATATCTCGTGGGTTTCCTTTTTCTGTTTCTAGCGCTAGATCTATGACCAATTTAGTCAAAAGATTCTCTAGCAATGACGGAAACGAACAAATTGGAGCGGTAAAGCAAGAATCTTTGATAAATGGTTCGTCGGAGCTCCGGAAAGAGTTGGTCGCCGGTCGTGGGATCGAAGCCATCGTTAATCGTCTGGTTAGTAAAAGAAATCTCATTAACGCACACAACATGCTCGACAAAATGCCCTGTTCAGTATCATTTTTGTGTGTGTAAATGTATAGTTGTTACTTACTGGGCTTCAATAATGACAGAGTAAATGGGTTGTGTCTGCTCTATTTGGTTCAATCATTCTTCTGCGACATGATGGTGCAGCATTGTGGGCTATCATTGGATCGGTTTCGAATTCTGCTCTCTCCGTAGTACTCAAACGTATACTTAACCAAGAGAGACCGGCGACAACCTTGCGAACTGATCCCGGGATGCCGTCTTCTCATGCTCAATCCATTTCTTTCATATCTGTGTTTGCTGTTTTGTCTGGTAAGCAGCAAAAGAAGAGTTGGATTATTATTGTTCACTATCATGGAACTGTTAAGACTATGGATTTATTCAAGTCATGTTTTCTGCAGTTATGGAATGGCTTGGAACCAATAAAGTCTCTTTTTTCCTCAGCGGCTTCATCCTAGCATTGGGTTCATACTTTGTAAGTCTAGATAACAACTAATCGATTGAGGCTTTTTCGATCCATATATGAAATCATTTAGTTGATTTAATAATCAGTTGCATTGAAATGATTGGCACGGTTACAATATTGAAAACCATCTCTAACTTTGATATGTGCAGATAAAGTTAAGGGTTTCTCAGAAACTACACACTAGCAGCCAAGTGGTGGTTGGTGCAATCGTGGGTTCAGTTTTCTGCATCTTATGGTACACAACGTGGAACTCGCTTCTCCTTGAAGCCTTCGAGTCATCTCTATTAGTCCAAATATCTGTGTTTCTTGTTGCAGCTGCCTTGGCATTATCTTTTGCAGTGTATGTTGTATTTAACTGGTTCAAAGACGACAGATGATCAAACAAAGCTTTAATTAGCATTGCTGAAAACTGTAACCCCTTGATTTCTTTCAAAAGTTCAATTTTGTGATTCCTAAACTATGTGAAGATCATGAAAATGTTAAATTCAAAACACACGTTACGATTCCTTTCTGATCTCAAGTCACATGTAGTAAACGAATAGAAACAAAAGAAATAAAGCAAGCCAAGCACCTAGCACTAGAGAGCTAACATTGAATGTTAATAGGTAACACGAACCAAATATTAGTGACTTTGTGGTTGTCACTCGGTACGCAACCGCGGGAAAAAAAGGAACAGAAGTGTTTTGCAGCTACTAGGAGCTATACATCCTCCTCTTTAAACGGTTAAAACAATAACCAGATACGTATATATTTTCTATTCACAAGGCGTGCTAAACGTCCTGGATCTTATTTCTCTTCTCACAATCAAGCCCATTATGGAGACAAGAGACTTACTTAATCATCCTTAAGAGTTTGTGATGCTTCGGATGATGGTTTCGATGCAGGAATGTAAGACCATGCCAATGCCGCGCTCCCTAGAGTAATGGTCGTTGCAATTGATCCCCAAATCCATCTCTGCCTCTTCTTTCTCTTCTGCCTCTCTCGTCGTGCCACCTCTGATATAACCAAAGTTGGGTGATTAGATAAATTGAAAAAAGATTGAAATGACAAAGAATGATTTTGTGAAACAAGTGTGATTTTATTCTACCTATGGCCTCTTGGTTACGTTGCGACATTTCTCGGTTCACTGCCTCATAGTAGTGTAGACGGTCAGACAGTCGTGTGATTTCAAAGTTCTTAGTTTCAAGCATAGATTCCATCTCCATCTCTGCCTCTGCTTTCGCCATACCTCTAGCTAGAGAGTCAGAGACAAACCTAGCAACCTCGAGTTGGCAGCGTAATTCTTCTGATAGGTTCAAGTTGTAGGTGGAGGCGGTGGGATCGATAGGAACGAACAGACCAACCTGGGCCAACTGCTCTCGGAGTCTCTGCCAGTGAATTTGCATCTGCTCGAGAGCTTCCTCTGTTTGTTTTCTCTTCTCGATTTCCATTAGTAAACTCAGCCTTATCTCCCTTAGTTCAGCTTCAATGTTGTTAACTGAACTCTGCATTCCACTGTCGGTTGATAGTTCTGGATAACCAAGAAACGAGAGTTTCAACGTAAGGGCATAATATGGATTACAAAACAGTTCCCAGTCATACAGTTGAGCTAATCTGAACTTTTTAGGATACTTTGCAAATACGTGGAAAAAGAAACATGAGTTCATACTAATCTAACTTAAGACTCTCAATATATCCAAAAGCAGTTAGAAATCCCAAACAAGAAAAGGCTACTACTGCGCGTTAAAGAAACAGTACTGATATATCCCAAATGCCCTAAAGTAAAAGACTCTAAAATGTGATTGATCATACTATCCTGGGAAAATAAGACCATAAACTCACAGCCCACAAGGAAATACTTAGTAAGAAAGTGATATTTAAATACGTACCATCCCAAGCATCATAGAACTCTCCCACAGGTGTCGCGAGTCTATTTGAACCTTCCTCTCCTGCATCACCCTCTGCCTCTGTGTTACTTGTGAAGCTTGCTGATTCACCTGGGTCATAGAAATCTTCTGACTCACTCTCCTTGTCTGCTTTGGCAGTGACAGGCTCCGGCAGCTCATTTTCTCGTTCTAAACCATTGGCAGCATTGTCCAACTCCGACTTTCCATTCCCAATTTTCCCGTCAAGTGGACTCCATTGCCCAACAGGACCATCAACAACACCATCGAAATTATAGTTTCCAATTTGACGAGCATGACCACCATTGGAATAATCCTCTTCGACAGACTCACTAACAGGAAATGAGAACGAGGTGGACTTCCTCCGAGGAGAAGCCTTTACCTCTGTATCACCAGTAATCTTTTCGTGTTCCAGGGTCTTCTGTTGGGAAGCCACATTAGCCTCAGAAGAGCTTTTCAAAAGACGCGGTCCACGTGATTTGTGGTTGATGATATAGGGCGATGGTGGGAAAGAAGATGGCGAATTTGGTAGCGGGATTGCATCAGGAGTGGCGTAGAGAGCAGGTGACATATGAGGACGAGTAAATGTCCTCTCATTAGCTAATAATTTCCCTTTCCCTTTCTCCAGCTTTGATACTGGTGGCTTTGAATAAAACGATTTTGTGCTTGGAACAGTGTCGACAGATGTGGAAGCTCCTGGCTCTAGCATTCTATCCAAGGCAATAGCTGAAAAAGTAGGCATGGCTCTGCATCATTGGAAGATTCAAATTAGATGAAAACACAAGCGTGTTCTTCATACGAATCAGAATTGAGACGAAATGCAAAACTCTGTAATTTGATTAACAAAGTGAGAATTAGCTATTGGGAAGGTACAAAGCAAAGACCTCATGCTCAAATCCACACCATCGCTACCTAACCAAAACTTTATTCAACACAGATTCTCGCGGAAACCTAAAATCGAGAAGAAGCTAAACAAATCAAACCACAAATCGATAATCTAGAAGCTAAACAAAGGTCAAATCGAATCTCGACAACACCACCTAGATTCAGACCTACGATAAACGAATTTTCCAGAAATTCCACCGGAACAACAAGCATCGAAACCAAAAAAAAAAAAACAATTACCTCGCGCGCGAAGGAGATCCAAACGGAGAGGATTCAACGGAAGATCCTGGTTAGACGGAAGCT